CACACACACACACAATACACACTGAAGATCATCTGTGCATCAATGAAGCTACAAAGTCTTTATCTAAGTGCAAAATAAAAGATAATAGTGAGAATAACTCATAATCCCCACTCTTGCTGACATTTCAGTCTTGCAGAGTTCACTTAGGAACAAATCCTTCTGCAAAAGAAAATGGAAGAAAAATATATTGTAGTCTGCAGTATGACAGTAATAAAACCATAAAATGATTTCATGCGTGCATTGTGCTCGACCACTTTAAAAGCTTCCAGTGAATGGTGCCCAGATTACAATAACTGCTTGTTCCATCATAAATTTTCATTTTCAAAAAACATTTTCTCTTTACCTATATTTCCTCTCATTCTTTTTCTTTACTGCCCATCTCTTCCTCTCTTCTCCTCCAAATGATTGTGAACCAACCTGCACTCACATGCTCAAAGAATGATAGATTCATTTTCATGGGAATTCTGAGTCTTACATATGAGAGAGCCATGTTTTCATCTTCCATCATCCTCGACTGGTGTTGACAATGAAGGTGTGACCAGTGTTCTCGGATGCTACCATCTGTTTGATGGTTTGAGCTCATTATTTAGAGGGTTTCCTCCATCACTCAAGAGGTGGACAACCTATTCTATTTAATGTTGGGGGCTTTTCGTGTTGCTGTGTGATGCAATAGTTACATAACAATGCTAAATTATTTCTATGGTCAGTAATTGTTTTACTTGCTTCCACATTCTCTTTATTCTTATTATATTATAAATACAAGGGGCTATGATGTGTTGCAGCTTTGTTGAATCTTCACTTGCCTCCGGTTCACCTCTAGTCATGTCACTGTGAGCTCAAGAAGTCAAGTAGATATTATTAATTTTTCCAATATTAACTTTAATTTCATCCAAAGAGCCAAAGACCTGGGTGATTAATGGTTTGAGTGCTGGGTTTGCTTTTGTTGCTATGGTTACAGTTCTGCTGTAATTGTAGCAATGGATGCCACAACTACATATCATTTTGTTGTTTGCAGTCCTGCAAAGCTTTTGAAATTATTTCATATGAATATATGTCATGTCATGATGGATTCTCTGGCAGCAGCATTTAATAAAACAATATAAAACAGGGGACCCCACTAGTGTTAATGTTCATTCACTCTATTTAAGGTTATTTTTCAATTACCAGCTAGCTGTGTATCTTCCTTTACAGGGCAGCGTGTTATTGGTGCAGTGAGCCAACAGCCAGATGGAGAGCGAGAGGAAAATGGAAATATATCTGAGCAGTAGATAAAAATACAAAACCAGAAACAGGCTTTGAGTTTGTAGCCTACTAATCATTTTTTACAGTAGTCAGCAAGTGTTGTGAGGCGCTATTAATCCACGGGGGTTGAATTTATTTTATGCTTGATGTCCTGCAGGTCAGAGGTCAGGTCAATCAGGGGAGAGTAGGTTTCATTAGCACTAAAGAAAGATGAATAAATGCATTTAATATTCTGCTGCTGAAAATATGAAGGCTTCTTACCATTAATGCTGTTATGTTCTGCCAGCAGAACTACAACACTTTTGGCCTCAGGGCTGTTTTGTAACTTTTGCTGTAGCTTTTATCTGTTTCTGTAATTGTTAGCATCGGAGTATCAAGTCTTTTTTTTCCCCATAAACATAAAATCTTCTCTTTTTAATTCATCCTTTTTTTTTTTATGACTTCATGGCCTGTCCTGTACAGCAGTTTCCAATTATTCTTCTTCTTCTTGCTCTTATTATTTCCAAGCTTTGATGAAATTTGCAGTCAGACAACACCATTATCTTCTTCATCGAGGTCAAAAGAGAAAAAAATCAATTTAAAAGCCTCTGCTTCTATTAAAGAAGCTATTATAGCCCAAGTCATAAACGGCATATAACACGAGCTAAATTTTGTTTGCTATCTGTTATTACACTATGAGGTCACACACGATGGAGTGGAGAGTATGTGTAAACATATTACAAGTTAAACTACTTGAATTTCCATTGACTCTGAAACCATCTTATCTATGGATGTAATGTAGTTATCTAACCTGACATGAGGAATGAAGCCTGACTCTCAGAGCTTCGTTTTTCATTCAGACATGACAGTTACACTGATGTGTCTTTAGCTTTAGGTGAAGGTTCAGGAGTATTTGGATATTTTCAGGAGTTCTCTCTTTGTCATTTCATTAATAGTCTCCTCATGAGGTATAAAATCTCATTTCAGCATCTCTTCTCCTAATTTGCTGACTGTTTCCCTCGAAAAGGATAGCACCTGTAGCAGGACCATATGGCTTTTGTTACATGACAGTAATCTTATTATCGGTGACACTGTTGCATTAATGGACCCTATTACCATAGAAATCTCACAGCAAAATGCCATACACTGGTGTAGTAAGCTGTTTTACAGTTCACCTGTGACCTGTTTGATAAAATGTGCTTACAAAACAGTTTCTGGCATTAATTAGATATAAAATTCAAAGCTCTGTCGTGAATGTCATTTTAACATATAATTTTCATATGATTTCTATATTGTTATCTATATTGCTGGTCATTTTTGTGGTGAGAGCCATTTAGTGGATATTTTTAGTGGATAACGATAATCTAATGAACAAATGGTTTCTAAATGCTTTTATTCTCAATCCAGTCCCCTAGCTGTTTATAAATGCAGAGCCACATAAATACCGCAATATTTCTGGTCAAACGTTGACAGCAATAGTTGGAAAAAGCTCAGAAAACAGATAATGAGCAACATCAGCAAACAAAAATGCTGAAAGTTTAATGAGTGTATAAATGATTAAACATACATATTTTATATATTGTATACCCTTGCCTGTAAGCTTGCATTGTAATGACTCAGAGGGTTTAAGGTATGACAAATGAATTACAACTCTACACCAAATCCTGCTGAAACTACCTGAATCAGTTCTACTGAGGTTGCAGTTTCCTCACCCTGCAGAGAATTATCAGCAGTATTTTCAGCAGCAAGGGCCTTTACTGAACATCAAATGATTATTTTTAGATTGATCCATCATCTGTAATCAAATTGATGGCGGTAGTGTACAGTCCCACACAGGTATTGACTTTGTGTTTTCAAATATCATAAAAAGCAGATGAATCTGTGAGGCAGGTTTTGACACTCATGGTATAAAATTGTTAAAAGTAAAGTCATCTCCTCTGAATAAGAAAAAAAGTTTGCTATAGAGACAGACAAACCTACTGAATCTACTTAAGAGTAGTGAGTGAGACGTCTTTCTATACCGTCATAGAATAAAGATACGTTTTATGGATCATACGAATCATCATCCTCTAGGCTTCAGTGTGAGTCCAGTTATCTGCAGTCTTTTTCCAGAGTGATTCCTGTTGTCATAAAGATCAGTGACTCTGACTGGAGTGAGAGCAGATAACACATTTTATACACGATGAGCACTCAAGTGGAAACAGCCTCAATAACTGATGTTAGTCTCAAGCTTTTCCCCTCATTAAGCAGCAGCGCTGTACGTTCAGTGTCAGGTCTGACTGTTCCAGTCGCTCGTTCTTAATGGATGACAGAGCTCAAAAAGAATAATTCTGCTTCCACAGTAGACATAAGTCTTTCATCTCCTGCTTTGTCAATTGTGCTGTGTGAAAAATCAGTCATCGCGAACAAATGGGATAAATTAACTGGAGCGATGTGCATGTGAAACACCTGTAAATGCACACACATGCATGCCCGTTAAATTAACGCCCAGAATATGAACTGACTCTGGCGCCTGCGATGCTTTGAAGTATAAAAGCCTGGACAGCAGGGGAGGAACATCAGTTTAAAAGCAGTTTGTGCTGCAACAATAATTACTCTTCTTGAATAGGTATTCATCAGGCAGTCGAAGGCACTTTTTGTACATAACAGACTATCAAAGAAAATTAATGCGTTACAGTCGTTAGGGTCAACAGTATTTTCCTTAGATCCCTCAGTTATTAAACATTCCTGCATTTGCATATTCCTCCACAACATACATGTACTGGAAAAGAATAGTGCTAAGAGGTTCAATTCCTTGACAATGCTACATCATGGCTGAATTCAAACTTGATGGACCTAGTTGAAAGTGAGTGTAAATTGATTTTCAGTTCAATAACAGTATACCTCAGTGGTTAGCGTTCAGGCACAGACACACCCCTCCCCTTGTATTATCCCTGGGTTTCTGCTTGAGGAAAACGTTTTAAGGGTCATGCTCTGCAAGGCCCAACATTGTCTCCAAATTGTAACACTTTTTTTTCTATTTTTTTTTATAGTCACTTCTGCTGTAGCCTATAAAATTTCCAATAAACTCCCACACACAAGACTCTTGTTACATAACTGGTTAAAATAGTCTGAAGAGGTCAAAACTTCAGCAACACTTGTAGCATCAAGAACAACTTTATTTACTGTGGAACCAGTGCACCATGCATCATGAAACACATTATAAACAACATTTAAATAGGATAGACATGAACAAAAAACATTTTAAAAAGGTAAAAAAAAGTATATAAAAGACATCCAATCATATATATATACATCCAAACAACCATTTGGACACATAAATAAGTTTGGTATATGCTCATGTGGTTTCAGA